TTGGCCCCCCCCCTCAGCATCAGCTGACTGCAGGTGTCTGGGTGGGAGGGTGGTGTTGGAGTGGGTGTCATGGGGATGGCAGACGGCTGTTCCAGACTTGGGCTTCTGTTTGCATCAGTGATGTTGATGCTCTTCACTACTTCACTTGTCCCCTGGGTCTTTCGTCTCTCTTTGTCTGTCCTCCATTTACCTCGTCTCCTCTCCAATACTTCATTTTACTGACCAATGTCAAATCAGTCAGACTCCTTTCCCACTAAGTGTTACCCTCAGTGATAGTGTTGTCTCTGTGTAGATTTACGAAGACAGACCCGAATCAGCCTCTCCCACAGCGCGGACATCACCTGGCGACAGGCCACTTGATGACACACCAAACCCACCACACCTCATGTTTCCAGCTCAGCACACACCATCTGTGCCGTACTGCAGTTATCACAGTGAAAAGGAAGAATTAGGCAGCGTCAAAACTGAGCTATCATTCATGTATCAAAATGGATCTTGATTCTTTTTTTTTTTTTCTTTTTTTTTTGGCTTTGCAAGGATGCATCTGTGAAGCGAATTGAAAACAATTAGGATATTTGCATTTTTCAATCAGCATTGGGTCTGAAAAAGCATTGTCAATGTTTTTAATTATTTCTGCAAGTTTTGGGTCCTGAGCATTGATAACCATAACAAATTAGAGGAGACTGTTATTTTTTCCCCTCACTCTCTCCCCTTCTCTCTCCCTCTCTCTCTCTCTCTCTCTCTCTCTCCCTCTTCATCTGTCTTTCTAAAACATTTTATTGTATGTAGTTCTGTGTATAAAGCATTTCCCATAATTAAGGTAAAATAGTTGTGTAACACATCACAAATACATATCTCATGCCACAATTTTGTGTGCATTTAGTCCTCAAACTCCAAAAAAAGGGCTGGCGATCCTTTGTAAAAAAAAAAAATAAATAAAAAATTAAAAATGGCCACAGGATTCAGTACTGCTGGTGCTTTAAAGAATGACACAGGTTATGGTTAAAGGTAATTCTTTTAATTCTTAATTTATGTAGGTGCGAGTAAGGACACCAAGCAGGAAAATCCTGCCAGATACATTTTTTCAAAAACTTTATGTCGGTAAACAGAATGCACAAAATCTGTAATAATTTGGTTTTACAAAGAAATTAGTACTAACCTTTTTTAAACAGTATTCATTTGTCCTTAAAAAATCCATTCATTTGTGGCACTGGTTTTTCAAACTGTGCACCAGCCTGACCTTTTCACTGAGAAGATTATTTAATCTCCCTTACAGGACACAGTCAGTAATGAAATAACACTCAGCAGAGTTGAGCAGGAAGAAGCCACAGTAGTTAAAGGCTCAATCTTGTTCGACTGTTGTTTTTATGCCCCCCACATAATTACTACAATGAAGCGTAGCAACTCAGGAGCTGTTTCATTTGGCTCATCGTTGGCTTCCTTTTAACCCGATTGTCCCACTGTGCAGAAAATATGTGTTTATATAGATAATACATTTACAGCCACGCTCACATTAGTTTGATGAAGTGAGACACAAATTAGTTAGAGCATGTATCACCAAGTGAACAGAGCTATGTCTGCTAATCAGTGCTTGTTTTAGTCTGCAGTGTGCTCACAGATTGACACAGAATGTATGTGCATAGATAATTATTGTTCAAAACCAAATTAAATGTAACATGGCCCAAGATTTATGATTTATATTTACCGATAGATATAGACTGTAGTGTGACTTATTTCCATTACAGTTGTGTAAAATAAGTGAAATGATGAAATATCCTTTTTTCTGCCTTCAGGATTCTGATGGCCCTGCAAAACCAGAAGGTGTTCATCCTCCAGTTTTTTCCAACCTTCGTCAATCCAGGGTGGTGTCATCCACTTCCGAGGAGGAAGAAGCTCTCACGGAGAAATTCCTTAAGATTAACTGCAAGTACATCACTGATGGAAAGGTGAGATACAGTTCCTTAATCCCTTTTTAATGAATTGTATTAACAAACAATAAAGTGTGTTGAGAAAAAGTTGTCATAATTTATTTGTGGAAACTAAGCTATTGATTTCTTTTGAACTGTATAAGTTCTGATCTAACTCTAATTCACAAAACTCTGAGAACATCAAAAATATATGTATTTACAGCTCAGTGCCTTCATTGATAAGCACCAAAAATTGAAACAGCTGAAATAAAAAACATATTTACCTAAATATCCTACCCAACTAAAACAACTTTACACAATTTAGCACTGACTAACACAAAAGAAACTTTACTTTCAACTCTCCCAAAAATGACATTTTAATCACTCATTGAAAATCATGATGACCTTCAGAAATGTCTTTAATTTGTTGGTTTTGAACCAAAATGTCAAAATGCAATCAAAAGAAAAATAAACACACACACACACACACATATAAACACACTCACAGTAAGATGTGTGGTATTGAGTTGCTGCTGATTCACTCCCAGGTACCAAATGAAAGCACTGAAGTGGTCAGAGCTGCCAGTCAATAAGTTCTACTTGATTTAGGACATTTGTGGTCACAAATGGATTTGACCTCCAACTGTTAATGTGACAGAGGTGCTTTTTATTATCCTCTGAGATAGATAAGGATGCTGAGCTGACATTTTCCCTGTTTGTTCTATTTCTAAAATAAATATAGACATGTCTGTGAGTTTTTTAACACATCCCTCACATTCTTGTTTTGTTGTCAGGGTGCAGTGAGTGGGGTGTTGCTGGTGACTCCCAACAACATCATGTTTGACCCTCACAGGATGGACCCTCTGGTCCAGGCCCATGGCTGCGAGGAATATGGCATCATGTGTCCTCTGGAGGAAGTGCAGTCTGCGGCCATTTACAAGGAGATCACTGATCCCAGGATCAGAGAGACCGTCCCTGAGTATGTGGGAAAATAACAAACACTATATGGAGAGAAGTGTAAAATGTATTTTTGACATTGTTTGTCTAGCTCATAATTCTCCAATTCTAGAGGTTAAAATTCTGGGTTTAATGTCCGATTTTTTTTAAATTTGTATAAGCACCTGTGATTTACAAGATGGACACAATATTTATGTTTTTGCAAGCTAGGTAGGATTATAAATTATAATACAATAATTATATCTTAATGATTTTGGTTCTTTTTGTGTCAAGAAGTCACATTCATGATTCACAACTCAAATTCATAAATTCTGAATTGTGGAAATGCACAGTGGTGCTGTGCATGTGGTAGTTCTTATAGTGAAAACACTCTCACCATCTAATTTTGATTTACTCCTATAACCTTTTTCTCATTTAACAAAACCAATATAGCAACATTGCTGCTATAAGTCTAATTATCGACTACACCTCTACCTGTAATCCCATGGAATTAGCGTCCAGTGCACATATTAATTCTGTCCCCAATTGTGACACAACAGGAAAGAGGCAGCAATTACAATGGAATTCATTAAAATGTGTTTTCTCTGCCCAGCACTCACCTTTTAATCTAGTATGAAGCAGTCATTTGTTTTTCCTCCCACAGCTTTGTCTGAGTTGTTGTTATGGCTGTGACTGTGATTGTTTTAATGATGCTGGAGACAAATTAAAGTAAGAACAAATATGTTGGATCATTATGTAGCCCAGGCTGTGTTCTGCTGGTACTACTGATGACCTAGAGCTGAATGTAGCTGACTGGAAAGTTGCCCTTAAAGCAGTTTTTATGCCACAAATGACTGTTTTTATGTCATACACAGATGTTTGTAATCTATCATCTTAATATCTCTTTCTCTCTCTCTCTCTTTCTCTCTCTCTCTCTCTCTCTCTCTCTCTCTCTCTGGTATATAGTATGTTCATATATTGTAAAAGTAATTGATACATATATAAACTATTTTTTCTGGTTGCAGTGACCTGGAGCCGTTGCCATCTGAGAGACATCCTTCCCAGCAGAAGGATCCAGAACATCGCCTGAGGGAACCAGGAGCCAATGACAGCGGCAGCACAGCCCCTCGTAGCACAGAGGGCTCCATCTCTGAAGATGTCTTCACTGAATCTGAGCTGTCTCCCATCCGAGAAGAAGGACAGGCCTCTAATGAGGACCTCCGCCTAGACAAGTCCTCCGGCGCCTCCACGGAGTCTGTGCAAACGGTCACCCAAGTGGAAGCCGCTGACACCCAGCCAGACACCCAGGCCGCAGGCGGCACTCGTGGCTCAGTCAGCCAGCCACAGGATTCTTCCGTGGTGAAAGCAGAGGACAATCCACCTGACACTGCCACAGAAAATAATAGCCAGTCCCCGATGGGGTCCTATCAGCACAGTGTAGAGAAGCCACCAAGCACACCCACTATAACCACTACCACCAGCAGCAGCACTAGCCAGGTCCAGGGTCCCAGCAGCGGCAGCTCCTCTCGCCCGAGCTCCCAAAGCTCAGCCAACCCTGGTGCCACAGGGAACACCACCACCACCATCACAGCCAGTTCACAGGGAGATGACAACGAGGGGACAGATGTCTTCAAAACGGACACTATGCAACAGAGCAAGGAGGAAAATGTAGAGGAGTCACAAAAGGACAACACAGAGAACTCTGGGGAAGGTAAATACTCTTCTTTAACACAAAAAAAAACCTAACACAGCTTTTACAGGTTGTAAAGTTACAACTCTGTTGTAATACACAAGAAAGTTACTTCAGAACCACACCAGTCCCATAATATTCTCTATAACCTTTTCCGTTTTCCTCCTCTTTGTTACGTGTAATTGAAATGTAAAGACGAGAGGAAATGGCAGCCTCTCTTTTATCTGCCTGGTGGAGCCACAGCTTTATGTGTCTCTATGTAGCTCTTTGATCTGTGGCTCTGATGATTGAAACCTTTCCTCCAGGTGATAAGCTAAACTCTATCAAACACCCAAAAATGCCACAGACTGAATCCATGCCCAGCGGAGAAAGATTATGAGGTCTAAATCTCACATCAAAGAATCATCTAAACCAACATTCGAATGCTTTGATTTCTGTAGCTATTTGACAACCTCTAAAATGTAGAAAGTCCCAAATGATTTTTAATGTCTCCTCTGTTGATTATAGAAAAAAGGAATTGCTGGACATTTAATCTGACAACTGCTGAAAGTCGGATTCAAACGAGCGATTGTTTCTACATCATATCATTGCCAAACAGCTTGTCCATCCAACAGGAGCTGTCGGACCTGAAGGATTACTTCTGTAGTTCTTTGTTGTTTAGTCACCAAAAATGTTTTAAGAAATGTAGAATGTTACAATGAAAAAATCACTTCATCTTCTTCTTTTGGCCTTCACCGCCACAGCAGATAATCTGCCTCCATCTCACTCTATCCCATGCTCTCCTCCTTATTGCTTAAAATATATTGGTCACCATAAGTAATTTACTACAGTTTAAATATCCAGGAAAAGCTCTAAATTGGACTTGGCATGTGCTTGAAAAAAATTTGACTATTGGCGTAGCTGCGAGCAAAACCTCACATCAGTGCACACAGTAAATTTCTCCACACTGGGAAAGATTGTTTTATCGTCTATATTTGAAAACTGTTGCTTCTAGCACATTATTCACATCAAAAAGTCCCCGCTCCTCTGTCTCTGCCTATTTCCAACCAACCATGTTCAAAGTCGGTAGCAGACACAGAAGAATTTACCATTTTCTGCTTGAAAATTACTGCCAATATAGAACATGACTGCAGACGCAAGAGCCGCTCTCTGTTCTCTTCACATCTAGCCTGCTTCAATGTGAAACAGTCACAAGTTCAAAACCAGACTGAAACAGAGAGAAAATCAAATTTGAGTCTGTGAGCCTTCTCTGAAGACGATAATATTGTTTTGACTGTCATTATTGACAGTTACCGTATACTTGTCTCCTAACTGGGAGACCAGAAGACAACATGTACCAGTGTAAAGTCACTGACACAAATGATGCCATTCAGCCCCCTGAGGCAGTGAGCTGTGATAAGAAACCACAGACATGAGACATGGTTGCGACTGTGAGTTGTTGTGCAGTGTTTCTTGTCAGTGGTATTTTTAAATTGTGATTAATTTGCTTTTTAAAAAGTAGATTAATCACATGGTAGCTGTGAATTAATCATGATTCATTGTTATTGTAGGAATTACACAGTTTTTTTTTAGTAACAATACAGTATTAAGTGGCTAGTATAATGCCAAGCCCCGTTTTATTTGTGAGTCTGTACACCTCCAGCAATATAACTGAAGTTTATCTCTTTGGACATAATAAACCGTTTTCTTAAAAATTAGACTGATGGTTCTTGTTTCAACTTGTCTAAAACCGGTGTATCATTAGACATAACACAGAAGGGGCTTGTTTTTTGTTTTTTATTCAGATGTGACTTCTAACACTACCCTACCTCTCTACTGCTTATTAAATAAGATCCACTTATTTTGTCTGTCTTTCTCTACTCTACTGCCACAGATCCACTTATTTTGTCTGTCTTTCTCATTGTTTTTTCCCATCAGCCGGTACTATATCCACAGAGAAAAGGAAACACCACAACCACAAGTTCCTCTGCCTGAGGGTGGGAAAGCCTATGAAGAAAACATTTGTTTCCAATGCCAGCGCCTCCATGCAGCAGTATGCCCAGCAGGGCAAAAAGCACGAGTACTGGTTTGCTGTGCCCAAGGAAAGGTCAGTGGCTCTGTTCAATCCTTCCATTAACCCAAAAAAAAAAGATAATATACATAATACAGTGTGTTCCAGTTGACTGGCTACAACAGGTAAGTTAGCTCCAAACAAGCTATAACCAACTTCAGTGTTCTATACATGCATGTGTATATCCTGTGGGTTTTATGTAGTGTCTTTAAAGCTCTTGTTCAAGTAAATTCATGCACTATGTAGTTTTTCAGATTCCTATTCAGCAGTATTTTTTTTAAACGTAACTAGTTTATTAAATGAGATTATTTTGACCATAATGAATTTTATTTTTGGAAAAAATGGCCTTTTTAATAGCAGAAAGTCAACATTCAGGATGTTTGTTTTGATTATACAAATTCTCTTCCATGGATTTATCACAGTAGAACCATTTTTTTTCGCCTGTATTTCTTGCTGTTTTGCAATCGACATAATTTTATTCAGGTTAATTAGCCATTTTGTTTGATAGCATATACATCTAAATTTATCTCAAGTCAAACAGTGAATAAACAAACCTATCACAAACTGCGGCATGTAATGGCAATAAAGGAATCGTTCATCAAATTGTTGAATCGTTAAAATTGTTAATTTTTATGAATCCATTGTACATTATGATCAGATTGTCAGATCTGACTTCCACGGTGACCACTGCCCTCTCCCTGTGCTTCCTACACAATGAAATTATTTATAACAATTTATTCTGAAGGGAAATGTGCACTCGCGCGCACACAGTCCCTGTAGTAGAATAGTCCAATATACCACACTGTGTGCAGTAACTCTTGTCTCTGGAGCTTTCTGTGACCTGCTCTGAGCTTCATTTTGTTTCTGTCCGAACTGAAAGGGAAGTGAAATGTGTGTTTTATCACTCTGCATCACGTAGTGTGTGATGTACAGTTGCCTAGTCAGCTCTTATCATAATTGCATTAGGACTCTTTCTCACTGTCAGGAGACACATTTCATCTGTTTCCACCCATGTTCACCTAGAGAGTACATTTTAATTAATACTACACTAATGGCTTCATCTGTCAACGGTGTAAAAAATAAAAATAGTGGAATCGTTGTTGTTTAGTCACATCACCATGAGTCTTACTGCACAGCAGGTGATCTGGCCTGACGTTTAAATGCACGTGTGTGGAGTTTTTCCAGCAGCAGTAACACAAACGATCCATACTCTGTCACTAATCACGTAAGAATCTGACAAACAGTTGTGTAATTTTTAATTCAGTGCTGACATCACAAATACTGTCTATGCAGCATGCTCCAGCAATGATGACACTGTAAGCTGCTGTATTTCATTATCCACTGTGAACTTCAGATGTCTCACTTCCTAATACCCTGTTGTTTATTTTCTTGCATGTTGCCCAGCAACAGCATTTTCCCACCTGGTAAACAGAGTTAATATAATGAGGGCTGCTATTCATGTAGGTTGCCCAGGGAAGAATCAGATTAGTTCATAATTAAATCTGTAATCCTCGCCAAAATTATTGTCCAAGTTTAACTTTCTGTGAGTGTGATCAAGTATTTCTACTTGAAACACTCTTATTTGAATATGGACTGTTGTACTCAAAATACAGCATTAGTATTGTGTATTGTAGTATTAGAAATAACTACAGTGTAACTAATTTTAAAGCACAACTTCATTATAAAGGAAATAATTTACATAACAAAATGCATGCGTCAAAGTTCAGTCAAAATGTATAGCTTTATTTATATCTATAGGGTTCTACATGTTTTAGATTGTTGAAAGCTCTGTCCAATTGTTATCAGGCCCAGACATGCATGTGGATGTTTTCTCTGAAGACCCAGTTGTTTTGTATATCATGGAAATGCCAGAGCTGTTGGTTTATCTCTTCCAAGTCATGTTTTTGCTTTTTGTTAACAAAAACAAAAACAACACTTCCTTAAACATTCACAATTTCACTAAGAAATCACATTTCTTAGTGATATCACAGCCTGGTTTAAACACTACATCCATTTTGAAATTAAAATGATTTTTTTATTATTATTATTTTAGCCAGTTGCATCATCTTTTTTCTATGATCATTAATGTCGACCAACTACATTTTTCAATTTCAACAGGCTTAACTTATCATCTCATTCTTTGTTTTGATGCACTTTTAATTTGTCTGGTGGTAATTTATAAAACTAAATAGGTCATGATTGGAGTTCTTGGGTTTTTTTTATTAACCAAAGACAACCAAAAATGTATTACAAAATTAATATTATTAATAATTTATATATATTAATTATATATTAAATATTATTAATAATAATTTGCATATTTTCTTTAGCATTGTGGAACCAAAAATGTATTACAAAAACTTAATTTGCATATTTTCTTTAGCATTGTGTTAGAAAGGAATGCCAATAATGCAGTCAGACAACATACAGCGGTTCCTCTTCTCGCAACATTGCACGACCTAGTTGGGAGGTGACCCACATAATGTGTCTTTAAACATCCAAGCAGTGAAGAAAGGACGAAGCAGAGGCAGTTGAATGAACACATGCACATCGATGACCCTTAGTGCAGCTGAGCATCGACAAGTCTGTCACAGCTCTGACATGTTTACCAGCAGTGGCCATGTGTGACTCAGGACTTTCTTATCTGTTGGTTGGTTGGTTTGTTTGTTTGCAGCCTCATCATTACACTCCACTTTCACATCACGTAAAGTCTTAACAGAACAGAGAAGCTTCCTCTTTTCCTGTATGAAGCTGTTCGAGTATTTAGAAAATTTTAAAAAATTGAGGAGGTTAAGATGTGAAGCTTAGATTTAACTGACTGCCGTGTCCCTGTGTGTCTTCAGTCACATCATTATCATTAGCTGTTTGAACTGTCAGCTAATAAATTAAATAAAGAATTTTCCTGATAAATTGCAAATACGGTCAATTCCCTTAAGCTCATGGGTATTTTTGTATATTCACCCCTTTTTTAAGGCAGCTACATTTTCCTACTTCATGTATGCTTTTGGTTGTGAGATAGGGATCAGTTGCATTCATAAATTTATGAATAAATGTATTAATAAAATGAATAGTTTAAATGTCATCAGCTATCCCTAAATGTTTTTTTATGAATTGTAGTAATCTTAAGGTAGTAAAGTAGATCTTTTAGCAGATCATTTCACTTCAAGTTGAAATAAACTGAGTGAAAACAGACAACCTAACTGGAGGCAGTTAACTTTCCATGGCAAAAGGCTGTGTCATTTATCATGCACAAAAATAGGTTTGAAATCTTTTTAATTAGAGAAAATAGAAAGAAAGAAAAATTCTGAAATGATGATGTCAGGAAGGGGTTCTCCTACACTCCTGCTGAGGAGCTGGCCTGCAGCAATAACAAGGGTTACTTATATAAAGAAGTCAGCAGGAGAAAACTGAAGGGATTAACCTGTCTCCTAACACTCATGCCCTCCTTAGAGCTTCCTTGAGGAAAAGTTGTTGAAGAAAAGAAGAGGAAAAAGAAGAAAAACTGTTGAGATTTACAGCACAAAGTTTCTATGGGGATAAGGAGGAAAGACATTTGGTGGTACCCAGAAAACCTTGAAATAAACCTCAAGTTACCTTATCAAATATAAATCCTCCTTCATAATCCAAGACCTGTGGTGTTGATAAGAATAAAATTAAACTAAAACAGAATATAAAGATGGTTTTGCCTTAGAATGCAAGTCCAAGATAAATACTAGAGTACTTTTAAAGGAAGACATGGACAGCTGTTGCGTAATGCATTCACCATAACAACTTAATAAGGCGGTAATGTATGAATGTCATGTGTTTACAGCCTTATGCACTGTGCCTTACTGTAAGTGGTCGGCAAATAAAACTGTTTGTCTGGCCACGTGTAAATATTCTAAAGCCTTCCTTCACCGTGTAATGACTCATGTTGCTAAACACGTTGTCTTGTTTACAAATGTTAGGTATAATATCATAAATTATCATTTAGGCTTTTTAGTGCTACCTGTAGCTTATAATAAAGAAACCTATTGTCCCACATTTGTCCTGGTATCTGTGCCTGCAGGTCAGACCACCTGTACGTCTTCTTCATGCAGTGGAGTCCAGACATGTACGGTGAGGGGATCAGGGGAATGGGACAGGAGCCTGGGTTTATGGTGGTGAAGAAGAATGAGGTTTCAGAGAAAGAAAAGGATGAGCCCGTCACTGACCTTAATGTCAAGGAATGGGAGGTAAGGTCTTTGAAAACTGCTCAATCACCTTGCACCTTTTGTTTTTTGTCAAAGTTCACAGTTATGGATTTAGTAAAATGTAAAGTTTTGATTAATCCATAATCTGTGAGTATTTCTTGTACGTGTGAAACTGTTAATTTGCCGTCATTATGCAGTGCTTTTCTTGATTTTGAATTCGTAAATGTTGTAAATGTTAGATTGTGCACTCTTTTATGTACATGTGTGTGTTGTTTCCACTTGTGCGTAACACTTCTTATTTCTTTATTTAACAGTTTTAATCTTTGTGTGAACTTTTTAAACACGTGAAAGTCATATAGTTTCTGTGAACTTTTGCTTTGCTTGGAAATGTGCTTCACTAAAGCTTCCAATCAAAGCGTTTTGCATGTTTGTGTAACTGTTAGCGCTTCTTGGTGAATGTATTGTGACTGTCACCCATGCTATTCAGCATTTGGCAATTTTAATTGGGTAAATTGCAAAATGCAGAAACGCAAAATAATCCATACACATTTATAGGTATTTTTACTGAGCGTATAGAGAAAACACAAACGACTAAACTTGAAATTAATTGTTGTGTATTCGTACATTTTCTTTCTTCTCAATTTTGTGGTTGACATGTTGAAGAGAAATTTAAAGGGTCCTGATAGGGTCTACCTGTGGGGAAAAGCATTGTAAAAATAACATTTTATATTTAGTTGTGACCTTAGGTGTACGTTCAACCGGATGGTGCATGGGACATATAAAACTTCAGGTCAAATATTTGAGCACAGTTAATGTTGTGACTGGTTACTCTGTAATTCCAAAGTTACTTACAACTCTTAGTAAAACTCAGTACCTGGTATTGTATATCTGCTATGTGCCTAATGAACTGATGCAGTATTCAATTCCAATCCATCAAAGTTTTAAGCACCATGAATGCATGTGTGTGTGTTGCTTGAATTTGATTGTTGACAGTAGGTGGATCAGGAAATTGAAACGCTAAAGCAGTGGCCTAGATTTGAATTTCATTCTAAGTGATTGATGTAGGAAACAAAGTGGACTGGTTTGTTTGGCTCGGACAATCTTGCAAACAGAAGCTACTTGATCCACCACATTTGAATAAGTAAATAGGGACATGATGCTCAAGTTTTTTCCTGTTAACAACATGTTTACATTTCACACTTTGCCTTTACTGATGGAAAACTATGCATTTACTGAGGGAAAACTGATAACAAAAAAAATAACCATATTAATAGACTTTTACATCCTAAATTTAGGCCCTGTGTTTAACTGAATATCCTTTTTGGTTAAAGGTACAAGACAGACTTGGCAGACTTTTTCCACTACATATGGAGGTTAAGTTCAATGAAAGTTAAATGTCGGTGGTGATCTGGACTTTTTCATTCATTGTCCTGTTAATTATTATTTGAACTATTTTGTCACCATATTGCTTTATAGTGGTGAGCAAGAGCTGTTAAAATGCAATCCATCATGCAGATCTAGGCATGCATGGTGTCTTGGAATTAATAACAAATAATTCAACGAAATGCATTTAATTTAGTCCATACATATGATGTTTTGCATGGGGCACACAGAATGTATCTATAATATGCCTTTCCCTTTTTGCTATGTGCTTTTGATGTGAAGTTATGAAATACGTTTTTGTGGTACCGTTATTGTAAATATAATATTACAAATGCAGACGAGTTGTTTTAAAATTATGTAATTTAGAAAAACACAGATATAAATTAATACAGTGAGTGAAGTTTGTTTTAGTTATTTAACTTTTTTGTTACTGTGTCTTTAAACCCTTTCTGTGGGGTGGCGGTAATAGTTCATTTGGTCCACCAATAAAATGTAATTTCCCTCCTCTCCCTCATATCTATTGGCTGTTACCGATGTCACGTACTCGCGGAGCTTTAGCGACCCCAGTAAAAAAGAAGTGTTTCTATTTTAGTCTGTGAGGCTCACGGACTGAATACAAACTCAGGCTGTTTTGTTCTCGGGGCTGAGCGAGGAGAACTTAAGGAAGGCATCTGTGATGTGACTTTTTCAGCTTCCGCCTCGCCCAGAGAGCAAGACATGTTTTCTCGGAGGGTGAAAGAGCAAGAGAAACGACTGACACCGAAGTACACCTGTGTATGTCTACTGTTGTCCACTCGCATCCTGTATATTAATATGCAGTTTGTTGTTGTTGTTGCTTGTTGTTAGCGATCTATGCTAAGTCGCTAACGCAGCTATCTCTCGTGTTGGCCTCGTAGCCGTTCTGGTCTGGTCCAGTGACCGAACAAGTGACCACTGTCCGGCCGGTGTTGACGGTCGGAGCAGCTTGCTCTGTGCATGTCTGTGTGATAGCTGGTCTGCGAAAACTCGGTGCCCTGACCTAATGCAGCTACTGTATGGTCAGGTACAAGTTTCTACACTTGTAGTTTTTACACCGTTGTCATTGGCCTCACAAATTGTGTCGTGACTGTTCGTTTTCCACCTGTGTGACTCAGTGACCTTTTTTCTAGACATGCCTTTCTTTTGAATTTAGTTACGTTAAAAAAAACACAGTACAGCAAAATGTCCCTGTAATAACATTTTAAAAAAAGCTCAGGGTCTAAATGGCATCTTATTTTGTTAAAGCAGTCAGACTAAAGGGTGACATTATTGCCTCATGGCTAGGTCTTGCTAAGGGGCTCAAATTATCATAGAACCGTTTCTTATGAGGTGCCTGACCCAGACTTGAAATAAGATGCTTCAAATCCTTTAAATTGGTAAATTCCAATTTCTAGGAAACTTCTCTAACCCCATCTTCTAATGTTTACACTTAAGATATTAAAGGTTAGGGTCACACAGTGATTTGGGAGTTATTGCTCAAGGTCACCAGCTGGAGTCTTTGGCCATGCATTGCATTGGTGATAATTTGTAGCACTTAATTGACCACTAATGATGCACAACTACTCAGGGATTTCTATCCATGGTATATTAGTCTGTATTATGTCTCTAAGTTCTGTTAACTGTTGCTTGTGCTGGAAACTTTTGGTTGGACTCAAGCTAACTGTAAGATTAATCATTATAATTGGTATTGTTATTTGAGGTTTATTATGAAGAAAGGAGAATGCCGTTGCTGTCCCCGTAGTGTTCATGGGGACAGATGTGGATGTAAGAAGTTGACGTAATCCTCAAATGATTTTTTTTTTTGAGGTCTGCCCTCTCTGCTGCATTATTGAGTGCTGTAAAGAGGTAGCTTGTTACCAAAAACGGTATTTACAATATTCGCCAAGAGGTGAGTAAATAAACTTTTTTTTACGTGACCTCTTTGTCAAGTAAATGTAGGATAATATGATTATTTCCTGACAGGCCTATGCTGATTCTTTTACAATCTGGTGAGTAGGAGCCTGCAACATATGTCTTGTACACATCAGTGTCTTCTCCCTGTATCAACTTTTATTTTGTTTATATATTTGATTTCTGAAAGAAAACAATATGGCACCTTAAAAGTTAATCTTTAGATGCTTTTGTTGGTGCATGACAAAAAAAAACAATACTTGTTGTTTTCCTTTTTGGATTCTTCTATTACAAAGGAATAGCATCAAACTCTAAAGGATAAAGGTCAAGATCATGTGATGCAACAAAGTATTTCACCGACCTCCTCACTAGGACCACAGAAGTACATACTTTTTTAAACTGCTTCTGTTTAAAAATAAATTTGTTAAAATCAGAAAACTAATCAAATTGGAATTTGTATATAAAAATGCAGGTTCCACGACCAGGTGGCTCTTCAGCATAAAACAGCACTACCTGCACTAAAATATTCCCTTTATTATGTTTTTGGGATTATTCCAACAATTATTTTTTTCAAGTAAACTTCACTCGTCATTCATGTTTTTATCTTTCCAAATGCAATGATTCTTTAAAAGACAAAGATTTGCAGAGCAGTTGTGACCATTTGTGGTTTGTTTGTTTTTTTTAGTTTGTTTTCGTTCATGAGGATATTAATAGCTTTCCTGTGCAGAGACACTGAAAGCTACTGAACGCCAACGTATTTTAAGCAGCTCTGGCTGGAGTATGCAACAGCGTGGGGTGTGAATTTGCTGGAATGAAGCCAAGCTTGGTAGGTCACTGTGTTGGTCTGTCTGGACTGTCGATGCACTTTTGTGGATTATTTGTGTCTCAACAGAAAGTACTTTAGTAACGTCGCAGTTGTTCAATGAGCTGAAAACTGCTTTGGTTGTTTTGGTTACAGCCTTTCTGGTAGTTTTTTTTTCACAATATACAAAACAGTTTAGGTGAAGTGAGGTGTCCTCTCTGTTGATTTTGGCACCTTCCATATACATTTTCAACACAAGGTATTGGTCTTGGTGGCTGGTATTAGATTTTCTCCAGTAGATAAATGATCTGTTTTTGAGGAACATGGAATATAAATCAACAATGTTGATGAGAGTTCATTCAGGCCTTTATTGACAACTGTACTTTCCAGTGGGACACAGCAGGCAATGAAATCCAATGTTATTGGTTTTGCACTCAATGGGATTATAATTTATGTTTAATTAAAAAGGCCTGAAACTAGCAATATTCACAAAAACTCTTCAGGGAATTTTTTAAAGTGTTCTTAATAATGCGAAAATTGCTCTTGTCGTTTCCTTTTGTAATCATATTTTACACCTCAGCAACAAGTGCCTTTTTACTGTTGTCTATTATTTACTTTATGGAGATAAATGCAAACTCCACTGTTAAATAGGAGCAAACGGTTAAATTAACCTTTGTCTACACAAACATGCAAAACAACTCTGAAATAAATTACATTTTTATATAAATAAAAACACTCTTGGTATTGGACCTCTACCATCAACCATACTGTAGAAAGTTCACTCAGTAATTCCTTTGATATTTATTGTTTTTCCCCTTTATCAATAATAGACCTGGTAGAGTTTTATGTTGCACCTGTTCCTGTCTTTGTACAACCAGGTAGTGTCTCTGACAGAGTACCACCGTCGGATTGATGCTCTAAACAGTGAAGATCTGCGCTCACTCTGCAAACGACTCCAGGTGCCCTTACCAGCCCTGTCTGCCCCCTTCTCTTTGCTGCCTACACCAACACCACCAGCAGCTGCTGCTGCTCTTAAACACTGACACCAAACACACGTTTTGCTGTTGCTGTGAATAAAAAGTTTGAGTAGGTTTCAATTCAAACCTTTTTATGCAGGCAAAAAAGAAAATAACAATTTCAAGTCAGAGTGAGTTGACTGTAAACTGAGAATATCTTTCTTTGTTTGGAGAAATTAGTGTGTGTTGTGAGAATGTCTTGTCTCCAAGTGTTAGGCTTTCCAGTTACAAAACCAGTTTCAGGACTGTTGGTTTTCTCCAGCTTATTAGGTTGACTATTGATGAGGACAAGAAAGCATTCTATTTTATTTTGCTTGCCAAATTGAAAAGCAAACATGAAAAAAGTCAATTAGGCTTTCCACCATGGAAGACTTCTGTAGAGTCCAGTAAAAGCCTTTCGTAGAACCTTTCAGAATAGTTCTTCTAAATATAGTGCTTAGGAATGAAAATGCTGATTTTTGCTTGGTTTTTAATGAGTAGTAAAATATAGTGCAGCAGGTTTTCTAACCAGTAACAATGTGTTGTGCTAACATCTGTACCTCTTTAGTACTTGTGCTCCCTCATAGTCCCACCTTAGCCCTAGTAAACACGTTATCAGTAATTCCTGAGTTGCTGATCTCTGTAGCCTAGATTAATATAATTTCAGGGCCAGTTTTAATTTATGGAGCAAGTTCACATGGGCACCAAACACATTTTAGTAGTTGACTTGATAGATTTGAGCTAAATGTGCATTGTGCATGTGTTGCCTGAGGACAGAATTGTTTATTTATTTAGGATTATTTTTACGGATAAGGATACAAATAAATAAACTCAGAAATCCCCATTTGTTTTATATTTTATAGAAAACCTTTGTGTTTTGTTCAATCATTTTGTGTGTGTTTCAATGTGTGTGAGCAATAAACAAGAGCTGCTCAGAGTAGTGGGAACAAAGAGATGATGTGTTGGTGGAAGTAAAACTCCCCTGATGGGGTGAGGGATGTTTTCTGGGGACAATGCAGATGGACCCTATTTGAATGAACACTGAAACATGAGAGCATCACAGCCACCAGCACTCCACAGTCAGCCACTGTTACTGTGGAAGATAAATAACCCAAACCATTCACCAGTCAGAGAATATGTCAAACAGCATTATTCAGAGTATTCATTAGCCTTGATTTTTGTTATTTCTTATACATTTAGCATTCTCATTACTGTGGTCCCAGGCAGTAAACTGAAGAAACTTTCAGTTCTGCCAGGCTGCCAGACTAGTCTTCCTCATCACACTATAACATATACAGTGTCCAGGTAATGAAGTAGAGTAGTTTTGATTAGTTAAAAAAACATTTACTGACGATAAACATTTAATATTTACCCAGTTTCCCCTTATTTAAAAATAACCCAACTTGCTTAACCTGTGTTTTAGAAGTTGCTGCCAGAAACACATTTGACTGGATTTAACTGTTGTCTCATGTTATGAAACTAAATTATAGACCGAGGCAGTAGTTGTAACCAACCTCACCAACAGCCTTTGTTTACTGGGAGCTTTGGTTACATCACGCTTTGTGTTTGCACAAAACACATCTGATATTTATTTTGATTCTGGCAGATCACCACTAAGGAGGAGGTGAACTCCAAGCATGGCACATCCATTAAGACCGACCTGGAGCCGGAAACCTTCAAACCCAACCTCAGAGAACCCAGCGATCTCCTGGAGGCCGATCAGATAGAGAAGGTAGAATCAAGCAGAAACAGATGGTTTGATAAACATTCACAAGCAACTTGCCCAGAAAACATAGAAATGTGATTAAAATGACCTCCTCATGTCTGCACACGTGTAAGGGGAACATTATGTGTGTGTTCATGTCTTATAGCAGACACCTGAACGCCTTACATGTATGTTGTTCCTCTGGGAATCAAACCCAGGACTCTCTTTCAAGGCAGGCATGCTAGCAGCTACACTAAGGGAGCCACAATAAAATAACTTTTCTGCAGAATAACTGATTGAAACCATGAACTGATTGTTAAATACACCAGAGTGCAGACATCTTCCTAATAAGTAAATAAATTATGTGCCATATAATTTTATTTAATGTGGAATTACAATGAAATGTGAAATATATTTTAAACAAAATC